GAAGTTGTTGAGTATATGACTAGCCTTCTGAGGTATTTGTATTATGATCCACCTTACTCTGTCCCTAAAAAATCATGGTCCCACAAGGTTGAATCAATCGCATAATCAATCTAGGTTTAGAGTCCTAATCAAATACAACGAGACTTGGAGGCGATAAAGTTTTGACCGAGGATAATTCTAAGTATCTTCGAAGAATATACCAAGAAATTGGAATATTATCAAGCTTTTACAACTCGGCAAGCTTGGTCATCAAGAAATCTAACCCTATAAATTGAAGTGGTTTGGCAACGTAGAGAGTCTCTTTAACTCAAATGTTGTATGTGAAACCTTTTCATACCCTGAGAAAAACACTAATTATCCTAACAACACTTTGGTAGCCACCAACGGCACGTTCAGTTTGGATTAACATCACGAGCTATAGAATTAGGCGATCAAGGAGCATATTAAGTTTGGATTAATAGCATTATTCCCGTTTCTTGGTTAACTATCCAAGTTGCTATTGGCGAGAAATTACTTCATTACCTTTCTTGGCGAAGTGAGATGTTAATCAAATTACTCAATGTTTGACACATTGAAAACCGAACCTTTATTGACTTAAAAGTAATGGCAACCTTGTCTTCATGTTTCTATAACCCTAGGCCGAGAGGCGTTCCTTCCTCGACCGTTGTCCCTCGGTGCATAAGTCAATAGCGTATTTCATTGCCACACCATCACTATCATCTTACTCGTCCAACCGAGCTCGGTCATGAGTTGGCGTGCCCATCAACAAGAAGGACGTAGTTATGTAATTATCAGCCTATGCACCATGTAAGTCTTGTAATTTTTAGAATCAACACCTGCATATATCATTTGGCTTGCTATTAAATTATTTTTCTTTAACAAATGGATTCTCCAAGTTGGCAAGTTCCAAACATGATGAACGGGTGGAGAAATGACTCCAAATCTCTAAGCACAAGGTCAGCTCGATCATTTCTTGCACATTCCATTTTTATCTTATGATTCTTATATCCCCCTTTATAATGCTAAGTCAATTCCAAGTGGATGCGAAGTGGGGCCCAACCTAACCTAAACAAGTATTTTTTGTTTTTGCCTAAATCAGAAAGGGTGGAAAACAATTTATATGAAACCAGTTTTTGTGACCGTATCGTTTTAGTTTAATAATATATTATTATGTAAAAAAGTTACACATATCAATACATTAATTGATCAAAACGCTACGTGACGGTGCTCATCCAGCACTACAAGAAAAATGGGCTAAGAACACAATTGATTTGTGCCCTTCTCATTTTCATTGAGCACAAATATATATTTGTGCTTTTTAAATTCTATTGAGCACCAAAATACCTCAAATGTGCCATCTAACATAAAAGCACATTAGTTTGTGTCGGGTATTTGTGCCTATTAAAATTTGAACACAAAACATTGTGTCCAGCTTACATGTCAGAGATGGAATTTTTTTTTATTAATTTACACAGACACAATAAAGGCTTTTGTGCCCTCTATTTTAATATATTTAAATTAAAAAAAATGTTTTTGTGTTCTTTACATTTACCTTTTCCCAACTATTTTTCCCTATTCACAATTTGTGAAAATATCTAGTTGCAATCAACTTGAATTATTAGTGAGGCATTTAGATTGAGATGTCTCATTTTACTATTTCTTTTATAAAACATTTGTGTGTTTTAGACTTTGATCAAACTAGCTCCTTAAAATGTGGCACCAATTAGATTATCATAAGCCCTTTTTTTATAAAATTACGTTAGGTGCCATTGCATTTAAATAAATGGACCACAATTCTTGAAAAACAGTGATTGATATTTCTATATTTCTGGAAATTAACTGTTTAAGTCATCGATATTTTCGAACATCGTGTTTGGTTTTGTACATACATGTTAATAGTTGTCACATATTGTTCATGCAATTTTCTCTCTCTTTTTTTTTTTCAATTTTATTCTCACATCCTACCATATAAATCAATGTACAAATGTCAACAAAATTATGAAAATCTACACATAGTACCTATAAAAAAATGTACGCAATTTATTTGTAATACCTTACGTATTTTTAGATGTATGATTTAGTTATTCATTTTTGTATGATTATGTGGAACTTGTTGGAAAACAAATAAGATGGTGGGTAATTTCATCTTTTGTGAGACCTTCGAGTTCAAGACACTTGGTGATAAATAATATTTAACTTAATGAACGCGTGGTCACAAACGAATGTGCATTCGGAGTTAGAACGAGTAAGTTACGAATTTTTAAAGTTAGAAGACAAATTGGTAATTTTGGGAGGGAGTATTCTAGAAGCCAAGGGCTTCTCCCATGTTACTTTCCCAGTAAGCTGATGCAGTAAGGTCTTCACCCTTTCCACCTGGTCATGTATATATAATTATTTGTTCTTTCGTCTCCTTCCTAATTATGTATATAATTAATTCATAAATTTTCTGATGGGTTTTTGTGTACCGTGGGACCCACCCACGTGGGTCTTCACCCTTACCTGTGCTTCTATTCCTTTCTACACGTCATCACTCTTCCGTCTCCCTCATTCATGCAATCCTCTCTCTACTTCTTCACATTTTTCTCTGTCATCTCCCTCACCATCTCTATGCTCACTGCACAGAAAACCGCATCAACCATCTCCATCTAACTAGCCACTCCGGCGAACCTTGCCACCACCCAAACACTACACTGCCACCTCACTCTCTCACAATCTTTTTGTCTCTCCCTCTCGGCTTCTTCCTTGACACAGGGAAACACATAAGCAATGATGGCGGCGGAGCTGGTGATCTTCGACGAGGCAACCACCAATGTCACCTTCCTTTCCTCACTGGAGACTCCCCATTACATTTTGCTTTCTGGAAATCAAAACTGACGCAACAAAATGACAAGCTTCGTCGCCGCTTGACTCCCCGGCGAGATTTTCCGTCGAATCCAGTATGAGTGAGTCTCAAAAACACCTTAGTTAGGTTCTTTAAGTTGTTTAGAGACGTTTTGCACTGCATTCCTGATTTGGTTAAGTTTGGATGTAGTTTCAACTCAGGGGACAAATTCCCTAGATTTCCAGCGAGGGCTATGATTTTCAGGCTGATTTTAAGATATCACCGGCCACCTAATGGCCCTGAAGAAGGTAAAATTCGAATACTTACCTTTGTAGCTTTGTTTTAGCTTTTGAATTGTTGAAAATGGTTGAGATTTGGACCAAAACAGACTCTAAAACCCCTGGCATGGCTGCAGGTTGCACTGTCGCTGCGTGTGGGCACTATTGTGGATGGCACATGGAGCATAGGCGCCTTCATCGGAAAGATGACTGCCTGAAAGGATGAATATACGTTTTCAAGGATGATTATACGTTTTCAAATTTTTGTTTCAGATTGTAGGGTATTTCGAATTTGTTATTTTTATTTTTATTTTATATTTAATTGATAGGGCTCAATTACAAAAATTGTGCTAACATGAATCTGAAATGGCATTTGACAAAGGTATCAGAATAGGGCACAATATAAACCTTATTTGTGCTCAACTTTTCGAGCACACATGGGCGTATCGTGCCCTCTAATCAAAGGTGACACCCATAGAGGGCACATATACAAATATAGTTGCTATTGGTCTATGGGCACAATTGTTGGTGCTTTTTGACCTCAAAGGCACTGATAATTTATTGTGCGCAGTGGCCATTTTTGTTGTAGTGCATGTAAGTCTTTCTCAAAGGAGACAAGACAATAACCAAGTCAAGTGGCATAACTCAGTGTGCGAAATGAGTGGGAATAACTTGAAAATTATAATATATCGGCAAATTGAGATTAAGTAGCAATTTGAAGAAAACAAATAAATAAAAATTTTGGTGTTGATTTCTTTAAATTTGTACAATGATACAATAACAATAAGAAAGATCGAAAATCACTTGGTATTGTTTTTTTGTTAGAAAAGTCAGTAAATTAAATACTACCTGATTTTTTTATGTGTAAAAACAAGATACTAACTTCATCAATAACGACTCAAGTTTGTAATAGCATTAGCAGTCCATTAGAAACACACGTGCAAAATATAGTACTTAAACTTTGAAAATGTTAGACATATCAAATTTTTAGATCATCTTTTATAGATTACACGACGTGGCGGTTGAGAAGGAGTCCAACCATCAATCGCCACATCACGTAGCCTACAAAAAATAGTCTAAAAATTTAGTCTCTAGGATCACCTTGAAACTTTTAGCTAAGAAATGGATGTCCTGAATGTGACTAAAATTTCGTTATCGTGTATTGCTCTAAGAAATCGTTTTGTCAATAAGAATATTACATTTATGTTTTTCATCTATTTTTTCTTCGTTAAACAATTATTACCCGTGAGATTGACCTAAAGACCTACTTCAACAACCGCCGTTCATATTTTCCATGTTCAGTTGATGACGTAAAGGAAAATTTCAGTTGGGTTGTTTTTGCTAAAGTAATTCCATTATGAACTAAAACGTGTTCCAATTTGATAATGAACTTGTATTTCTTTAAACACGTTGTCATTTTATCATTAGACCTGCTCCTTTGGCCCTTTGTAATGCCACGTGACCGGAACAACTCCACCCATATGAAAAATTCTTCGGGACTAAGTCTCAAATATAAACCTTGTCCTAATGAAAACGAGTAATCACCCATAACGATAATAAATTCCTTTGTCCTATATCCTAAATTCGTAATTAGAAGGAATTAGCCATGCAAGGAAAACCAATCATGAAAAACTGAGACTTAATCCCGATTGGTTTGGAACAAAATCTATTTAAGTCTTGCTAATTCCACGCGCTTTCCGTCGCGTGTGAAACTGAGATATCATCCATTTACGGCGCCGTCTCTTGTTCCCTTCCTCGAAGTCACAGAAACTAGAAAACGAAATACCACAGAAACCTCCTGGAACCACCATTAACCGTGTCTATTAATTTTAGGCAACCAAGAAACGTGCTTACAATTTTAATAAAAACTCAAAAAATAAAGTACGCGGATTAGGATTTGTATAAAAAAGGACGAGACCATTTAGAACGAGATAGATGCCAAGATTTCAACTTTCATCTTCCTATTCGTCTGCACCTTACTACTCATCGTTTCCTCCCGACTGTTCCTCCATGTCGATTTCTGGAATTCAAGGCCAGCTTCTTGAAGTCACTGGTATGGTTTCAAGTTCCCATTATTTTTTGTGTCAAAATACGCAATTTTTTTTTTATTATAAAAATTCAAGAAAACCCATCAAAATCTTGTTCTTTATCTTCTGTTTCTGTTTTTGTTATTCAAATTCTGAGTTTTTGTGATGTGGGTTTTGATTATCTGTTGGTGCTGCAGTTATTGGTTGTAACAAATTGAGAGATACGGAATGGATTTCACGGCAGGACCCATATGTCTGTCTTGAATATGCCAACACCAAGCACCGCACCAGAACATGCAAAGGTAATTTCGGATTTAGGCCCTGTTTACTTGGTTAAGTTGGCCTAAATTTCAGTTTTTGTTGTTCTTGCAATCTGGAGATTTGGATCTAATTTTGTACTCATACCCATGTTGTAATTATTGGTATAGACGGCGGTAAACATCCCACATTCCAAGAGAAGTTCGTGTTTCCGCTGGTTGAAGGTCTTAGGGAAATCAATGTTATGGTCTGGAACAGCAATACTGTCACATCGGATGACTTCATTGGCGGGGGAAAGTATGAAATTCTCAACCCATATGCGTCAACATCTCCATTTTGGCTTTCTTTTAGACCATTTTGGTTATTCTGAATTTTTGAGTTTGCTGATTTGGGTTATTTGGTGTGTCATGACTTTTAGGGTTCAACTTCAGAAGGTTCTTACTCAGGGTTATGATGACAGCGCATGGCCGCTTCAGACTAAACATGGCCGGTAACTACAATAAATTTGATCTCATTGCTTTTTATTTGTTCTAATGCTACTATAATGTGAATGGTTGGATTGTAAGGCATACTAATCAGGTTGCATATAGGTGTTATTTTAAAAATGTGACTTTATTTTAAGCCTGCCGCTCAAGTTGGATGTTCATATTCGAGAATTCTTAATATATCCAAACTCCTATGTCTCTGTTAGCAAATTGTTGTTGCACCTTGTTCCATCTCTAATTAATTCAAATTATCCGAAAAGGAGGTGGTTGTGTGTACTATGCATGCTCAAGTCAATGATCTTCATGCATGAGTTTCCTTTTTCTTCCCATCTGGATTGTTCGTGTTAACCATGTATAACTTCACCAATATTACATCCCTTGATTTGGTCCTTCATATTTATTTTTCATGATGAGATAATTTAATTTTGGGTTTGCATTGTATTAGGCAAAGAAACAGCTATTCATTGTGTGATTATGAATAGATCATGCTAGTCCATGAGTTGTTTTAGGAGCAAACATTGCGTGAATTATGTGCAAGCACTCGTGTTTATGCTGCAACATTAGTGAGCAACAAGTGGCCTAAATGAGAATCGCCCCAAGTAGATTGATGTTCCTAATTGACGATGCTATTTCTGTGTCATCTGTTCGCGGAGTCTCCACTCAATATTCACTCAAATTACTTTTACGTGGTTTTGTGTTCATCTATCAATTCTCAGACAGCTCAAACACGGGCTGTGCAATCATCCACCATGTTATTTTTTATATTCTGTAAAATAAAAGGGCGAACAAAAAAAGAGGGAATTAATTTGCAATATATCCCTCGTATTAAGTATAGTAATTTACAATTTGGGCTAAAGAAGAGAAAAGGGCTGGGAATTTGATAGAATATCTTGCGGTACATTTCATCCTTTTTGAGTACCAGTTTTGATTTTCCTTTCTTACAAACGCATGGAATTGGTTTTTGCATCTAGAAGGTTCATTAAACAAACCGTCCTATAATTAGATGTATTCTGCTGTGTTTTGAAATTGTTTGACTTCTAACACGAATTCTTTTTCATAGTAGATATGCAGGAGAAGTGCGGCTCATAATGCATTATTCGAAGACCAATGTAAATTGCACCCTCTCTCAATATAACCGGTGACTTTTGAACAGTCTTGTATGGTCATGTTAATTATCTGTCGAGCTGATTTACTGTGTTTGGGTTACTGCAGAAACCGACATCAAGCTATGCTCCGTCTGCACCACCATATGGAGCACCACATGCATCACAAGCTCATCTATATTCAGCACCCCCACCTGCAGGTCATTATGCACCACCAGCGCCTGGACCTTACCCACCAGTGCCAGCAGGCTATGCAGCTCCATCTCCCTATCCTTCATACTCGCCTAATTCAGCAGGGTATCCACCATCTCCATATGGTCCCAATCCATCAGCGTATGGCCATACTCCATCTTCCTATCCTCCCGCACCATACCCACCAACTTCAACATATCCCCCACCCCCACAATCCTCACCCTATCCTCCAAGTAAGTTCTTTCTTCGTTTTTATTTCCTTTTCTGTGTCTTACTTCTGGCTGCTAGTGTGATTCATCAAATACTAATTTTCTGTTGTACACTTTTCAATCAGATCCTTTTCCTGGACTTTATCCTCCATCACCGTACTAAGATAGAGCTCCTCCAGTTGTACCTGAAAAAGAGAGAGATCTCCCCGAGACCCCAAATGAAGATGCGATTGATAAGATGTGGTACTAATTGTGTATAGTCTAATACTCGTAGTTTGGTAGTTGTCTTACCGCATAGACGGATGTTCCAAATTCAAATTTGCACATTCGTTCTCCCCACTGTTTATAAAACGAAGAGTTTCTGAACCAGAATTTTGGTAACCTGTATGATTCTGTTATTCTTTGGCCTTTTTCATTAGTTCACGAGGCAGTTACGTGTTGTTTTATGCTAGATTTGAACTTGTTCGAATTAGTTGTATATGTTGGTGGATAGTTGTTCGAAATCCTGAAGTTATGAAAGGAATTTGTAATCTGAATTTTCATCTGAAAGGCAAAACAAGGATACTTTATAATCGGCGCAGGTCAAATGCAGTCTATTGCTATACCTTGGAGCCAACAGAATAAAATTTCGTTCTGCAGACTCGCAGTCACTTTCAAGGAGTTTCAATCTACAATGAAGCAGAAAAAAGTGTTCCTCAAGTAAATCTCCAGTTCTAGGCAACGCGCCTCTCACAATAACTGATCATGTGACCAGCATGCGATTCACGTTGTATGCATCCGTCGTTTACAAACTTCTGTCTAGAATCGATGTATGACTTATAATGATTCAGGCCTTGTATATGCATCCGTTCCGGTCGTATACTATAACTTCTCCCTGAACCCTAAAGCTAAAGGCAACAGAATAAAATCGACCTGTTTTGATTTTTTTCACCTTGAGGGTACGAGGAGCAACATTATTGCTTGTCCGTGCACTGATGATCTATCCCACTCGATCGTATGAATGCTTTCATAAGTGAAAATCAATAATGTTATAAATAAAAAATTTGATAGGATTAAAAGCACACCACAAAGTAGCACACAAATGTCCTATTGATTTTCCTTATTGACACTAAGATTTGTCAATTGTAGCATATGAAAATAAGGGTCTTTCCCGTAGAAGATTGTTTTATCTAACTACTTAAAATGTCACAAAAACTGGACTGTTGTCCCTACTGGCCATCCACCAAAAAATAATTATTAGACCAACTTACACTTATCTAAAGTCTACCAAATTTTATATGAAAATACTAGACACACAGAGCTACACTCACAAATTTTTGGGATTTTTGGAGTTGATTTGCTATTTAAATTAAATCGAACAAAAACAGAACAGAAACAGATTTTAAGTAGTTCACAAATTAAGAAAAACGAGTTAGGGGAATTGCTATCCACTACCAAATAATCATACAAACATGTTATGTTTCATTCAAATTCCTTCTATTTCCGGATGAAGATGCTCAAGTTGGCTCAATATTAGAACTCAACCCATTACTCTTTCTTATGTAGTATGTTAAGAGAATGGCGTTTTCAACTTAACTTAGTCTCTAACATGCAAAATCTAGAATGGCGTGTTTATAGATTTAACAAGTAGAAATCATTTAGAACAAAAAGTGTTTGAGTCATCACAAGGCATCGTAAGTATTAGTGTTGTCTTACTTATCCTAGAAATTGGTTCACATGTTAATCGCAATTAACAAGTACTACTCTAGAACATATGTAGGTCCTCATTTGACAAGGGCAGGCACACACATATTCATAGCATTAGAATCCTAGATATGCTTACTAAGTATGCATCCATAGAAAACATATAAAGAATTCATCAAGGAGACAAGTAGTGAACCAATTTTCATCCATTATAAAAGTAATTCACACGAAATGTCATAACAAACTTGCAATCATATTCGGGGCTTCAGACAGCCCTTAATTACTAAAAATTTAGTACACAATCCTTAAGTTAAAATAAAAGATAGACATGAGTTTGAGAAAATAGAACCGAAAGAAATCGACTAAGGCTCCTCTTTCCTTCCTTCCCCAATGCTACTTTTAAACCAATTCTTGCTGCATCATTTTCTTCTCCTTAACTCACCCACTAATAGACATTTAGTGATGACAATAAGTGAGAGGAAATGTAAAACAATTGTAACTCCTTGGGTAGCCTTTATGCCAATTACTCCCTCTTAATCCTCATCTTTAATTCCATTTCCTCTGATATTTGAATAGGTGTCAGCTGGTTTGTTCTTGATTGCATCAGTTTTGGCTACTAGATTTATTGGATTTATTGCTTTCAATGCTTTCTTGTCAGTTACAAACTGCTTGGCCTCTTGGAAACTTTTCAGTGTTAAAACGGCCATAACTTCTTCTAGAAAAATGATATTAACAATCCGCGAAATGCTTCAGAAAATAGACATCCGTAGCTTTCCAAACTTATCTAATTCATTCTGAGCTGTCCGCAACTTGCTTCCAAAGTCAGCTGACCTACACAGGCAGTTTTGACGAATTTGTTACTTAAAATTCCACTTGTGTTATTTTTCTTTTCTTTACTTGACAAATCCTACAATACACAAAAACAAAGTAAATAACTCAAAAATATAAGAAACTAACTAAGAAAAGACAAGTGAATTTGATATAAAATATATATAAATATAAGCTTATCAGTAGTCCATTGTGAAAGGCGATGATGAAATTTTTTTCGAACATAAAGAGCATTTCCACCAGTTTTAGGAGGGAAAGGGCAATTGCAATGGAAGTACCCTTACTTTGTGAAAGTTTACCGGTTTGGAAAGCGGAAGGACAAGGGCAATTACTATTCACAACTATATTTTTAGCTTTTTAGTCAAAATGATCTTTGAGATTTGCATAACTCCTCACTTTGATCCCTAAGATTTGAAATCAATAGAAATAGTCCTTGAGATTGTCCATTATCAATCATTTTGGTCATTTCGTGAAAAATTATGTTAATTAAGGATCAAAATGACAAAAATATCCTCAATTTAACGAACAATAGGCCAAAATGATTTGACAAAAAATTGAGGGTATTTTTGTCATTTTATTTTTATTTAATGGAGATTTTTCAAGAAAATACCAAAATGATTGATGATGGACAATCTCAGGGATCACTTCTATTGGTTTTAAATCTCATGACCAAAGTGAGGAGATTATGCAAATCTTAGGGATCATTTTTGCTAAAAAACCTATATTTTTAATATGTTTTATGCCTTGTAAATGTGTACTTAATAAGTTTGTTCTTAAAAAATAAAACTTCATATTTCATTTTGATAATTTAATTTTAAATACAAAACAAAGTATAATATTACAAACAAGCATAATTAATAATAGTATATAATAGGATTAAGTACCTAAAATCTCCTAACCTTTTAGTGTCATTGTAAATTGGTCTCAATCTTTTTAAACATTTCAAAAAAGTACCTAAACTATTGAAAATGTCACATTTATTAAGCTCCAATTAAATTTCTATTAAATTAACTAAGCTTACTTTATCTCCAAAATCAATAGAAGGTCATGGAAGCATGGTTACCACATAATAACAGTCACCACCACCCCATCAAACCATCACCTCCAAACCCAACGCATAACCACCGACTCCACCCTACGACTCAAGCCTCCAACATCAAGACGAAGGTGATGGAGGTTGCTAACATGGTACGGACTGCCATTATGTAGTTGGTGGGTTTTGAATATAAAGGTTGGAATGAGGTTTCAGTGGTCGTAATTTGAGCTTGGAGGTGGTGCAGGCTTATAATTTCCCATCTTCATTTTTGTTTTCCATTTTATTTTGTGAATTTGTTTATTTATATTTATTTTTCATCTTCATGTTTTTTTAACATTATTTTTATTATTATTTTAGTATCTATATAAGCTAAAAAGTGGGATCAATTGTTGTCGCATGTACATTAACAAAAAAATAAATTAGGGCTTAACGGATGTAACATTTTCAATAGGTTGGGTACTTGTTCGAAATGTTTAAAAAGGTTGAGAACAATTTAGAATGACACTAAAAGGTTGGGAGGGGGTTAGGTATTTAATCCTAAATAATAATTAAAGTAATTAACTATGCTAGAAATTAATAGTAAACGATATAAATAAGGCATAATAGATGATGATGGGCAAGAATGGTAGCAATGACTAATGAGCATAATTAAGGAGTGGTGTTATACCCATCCCATAGATGATGATGGGCAAGAATGGTAGCAATGACTAATGAGCATAATTAAGGAGTGGTGTTATACCCATCCCAGTGTCTTATTTCCCCACCCACCTTATATTCACATCCACCATAAAAAGACAAAACACACATAAACTCTTTCCCCACCCACCATTATTCCCAAAATAATCCTATATATTTCTTCTTCCAATTTTCCTTGCTTTAAAATTTTTATTATAATTTAACAAAAATGAAAATTATCATTAAACAAATATGCCTAACAACTCCAACTCCAAATATCACAGTAGTCCCCTCCCAAAAAAACTCCTAGAACCGTCACTATCAAAACACCCAAACCTTAGCCCAACCCCCTTCCCGCCCCCCTCCCCCCCCCCCCTAAACGAAAAAAAAAAAAAAAAACACTCAGCGCCCCTCCTAGCCTAAAATGCTCGGTCGGCCTCAATGTCGTGTTTTGGGAATTGGGAGATGGTTATCGAGTCCCCATTTAATCGAGTCTTTGGAGGACCGCAGAGGAGATTAGTGGACGAGATGCGCTTGCTATTCGAGCACAGCCTCGACGAATTTGGCGAAGGTCTCAGCCATGGCGAGTGAGACGATCGGTGAGAAAGCTAGTGCATAAGAGAGAGGGAGGAGAAAGAGAGGGAAGGAGGAAGAAGCAGTAAACAGTGAGGTAGGAAATTAAAATAGGGTGAAGTTGTGGAGGCTGAGGTCGGGGAGGGTGGTGGTTATGGGGTTCTTCAAATTTTTTTTTTGGTTTTTTTTTTTTTGGAGGTGAAAGGGCTTGTGGCAAGATATGATTGTTTGGTTTTTAAGTCTTTGAAGGTCATTTTATACAAGAATAAATTTGTCAATTAAGTATTATTTTAAAGTGGGTGAAGTGTTAAGATACTAGGGTGGGCTTAGTAGCACTCTAATTAAATCAACTACATTTGTGTGGGTGGCCTTTTTAATTAATTCACCAGCATCTGGGTGGAGTCCAAGCTTTACGCTGATGTCAGCGAGCAAAACCCACAGGCGCAAACCCATTCATGAATAGGCAGGGCATAAGCCTAGCCCAATTGCCTCCCCAATTTTGCACCGGTGGACCACTTTTTTTGGGGCAAAGGCAATTCATCCCAATTACCCTATCAATTGAGCAATGGGTGGATGA